AACTCAAGACCTGAGTACTATCCCTTAGCTTTTTTTTTTGATAAGGCTAACGGTCTACCACTGAAGCCACAGCTCCACTTCTGGCTTTTTTTTTTTTTTTCCTGGGTAGTTAATTGGAGATAAGAGTCTCATGGGTTTTCTTGCTTGGGCTGGCTTTGAATGGTGATCCTCAGATCTCAGTCTCCTCGAGTAGCTAGGATTGCAGGCATGAGCCACCAGTGCCTGGCTGAGATCTGTGTTTTTCACAAGGGTCTCAGGTAATCCTTTGCAGGGAGGCTGGCAACCACACTGGTGCAGACAAGACTCCGTGTGCTGCATGAGACTGGCTTGGAGAGACTTTTAATATATAGATCCTGGGGCTTCACCATTAGATTTGGTAACTGTTGGTTCTAGAGCTTAAGGCATCTGGGAATCTGTAGTTTTAAAAGCTCCACAGTAAATGCTGGCTCCAGGGGCTAGGACTCCTTCTGTACTACAGAGATCTGTAGGAGGGCTTCAGGCTCAAGCTTCCTGTCAAAGTCAGGGTTTGGTAAAATAACTTTGGTTCTGAATGGCAGGGACTCCTGTGGCCACACTATACCAACACATGTAGCTTCTAGGAATGTTCTGGCCCGCTCAGCTCTTTCTGCAGCTTCATGCTCTTTTGCTTCAGAGCAAATAGGGAGTGAACATCTGTTAGCACAGGCCTGACCAGCTGTGGGAGCCCAACTGGGAAATTTAAGTCCAAAAGATATCCTGCTCTGGGAAAACACCTACAAAGCCATGACTCATCTGGCAAATAGATAAGAAAAAAATTGTGTGAGTGTGTGTAAGTGTGTGTGTGTGTGTGTGTGTGTGATTCATAAGAATAGCACTGATCCTAAAACTTTGAAAAAATATAAAGAAGAAATAATACCCTCCAGAATACTCAGAGTTCATAACCAATATATAGGTATCTAGATTCTCATGCAGGCAGATTTACAAATGAAGCTAGGATTATGCTGCTTTTACTCTTCTGCCTTTAAGTTTTTTGTTTGTCTCAAAGTTGGGCACTGCTGGCTTATGCATGTAATCTAGCAACCCAGGAGGCTGAGAGCTGAGAATCCCTGTTTAAAGCCAGCTCTGGCAGGAAAGTCCCTAAGACTTCATCTCTGATTAAGCAGTGAAAAGCTAGAAGGGGAGCTGTAGCTCAAGTGGTAGAGCATCAGCCTTGAGAGAAAATGCTAACGAAGAACATGAGGCCCTGAGTTCAAGCACTAGTACCAGCACTTGTGTGCAAGTACGCACACACACACACACACACACACACACACACACACACACACACACACTTTTGTTTCTCTTTTATAAGTCAATTTTCTTGAGATATAATTTACATATAATAAAATGCTGCTGCCATAATTGTATATATATATATATATTTAAAATGGGATCTGACAGTTGTGTGTACTATACTCATGTGATCAATACATGGCACTTTTCATCACCTTTCAAATTCCCCAGTCTCCTCTTGCACTAATTTCTTGTCCCCAGGAAGTTATAATGTAAACATGTTTTTGCTTAGTGTCACACTTTTGATACTCATCCACATTCTTATAGGCAAGACCAAGAGTTTGTTCTTTTTTTTTTTCTATTGAACAGTACTCCATTTTATGGATAAACTACATTAAAAAAAAACTCACTGGACTGGGAGGTGTGGCTCAAGTGGTAGGGTGACTGCTTAGTAAGCACAATGCCCTTAATGCAATCTTTAGCACCAGAAAAAAGAAAGAAAGAAAGGAAGAAAGAGAGAAAGAAGGAAAAAAAGAGGGAAGGAAGGACAGATAGGAAGAAGGAAGGAAGGATGGAAGGACAGAAAGGAAAGAGGGAAGGAAAGAAGGAAAGGTAGATGGAAAAAGCATTTACCTGTTGATAGGCATTTGGTTGTTTCAAGTTTTTAGTGATTATGAATTAAAGGCAACTCTGGCTTTTATGAATATTCATGTACAAGTCTTTTCATGAACATATGCCTTTGTTGATTTTAGAGAAATACTTAGAAGTTGAGTTTCTAGGTAAATGGTAACCTTATTTAATTCTGTATGAAACTACCAAATTTATTTGATGTTGTTTACACCATTTTGTTTTCCAACGAACAATGTCTGAGGATTTCAATTTTACTTTTTAAAATCCCTACTGGTTTTATTTTTTAAAAATGATATTAGTATATTATGCTTTGGGGGAGAATGGGAGACTGTCCTGATTTAGTCTCAGATTCTACTATTTAAGTCATCTTTGCTCTGAATGGAATTGGCCTCCCAGGAACTTTTTCATCCCCAGGATGAAGCCACAGCTAGAACAGGAACAGACCAAGGGGGCAAACCTGCCCAGGGGTTAATGGGGCTGCACTGAGGAGCTGTGATTCAGAGCAGTTGATTATTCTATTGCTCATGGTCATGGCGCCCGGATGCCTGGGTAGAGGTAGTGATTTCTGTGGACTCCCAAGGAGGGTTGCCCTTCTTGGCTATCCACAGAGGTCCTCATTTGTTCCTTCCATAAATATTAATTGTGCACCTCTGATGTTTCAAACACTGCTCTGGGTGCTGGGTAGACATCTGTAAACTCACAAAGTCCTTGTGTTTGGTACCTATGCGATGTCAAAGAATGATAGGGACCGATTACAAATAATCAAGCAGGAATGACATACTCAACGAGAAGAGCTACTTCGTACACAGGGAAGGATTCTGCGAGGAGATGACACCCCCCCGCCCCGCCCCTCCTTCTCCGCCACCATAATGGCAAGGCTATGCCTGCTTCTTGGCTGAAAGTTTATGAAGGACTGACGGGAGAAGGACCCTCTTCACCTGTAATTTCATCACTGGATGAGCCAAGGAAGTATTAGCAATGGCAGGGGGACTAATAAACTCTGCATACCCCGTACAGAGCTGTGTAAAAGTTCTTTGCCTCAAAGAAAAGCACTTCCTCTTTCTAATCTTCCATTTTCAATGACAAGACTTGTAGATTCTGCTGCTTTGAAGCTTTGCAGCTGCTCATATCACTCTATTCCAGAGCACTACTCTGTTCAGTTTGTCACCATGAAGCTTTCGGGTCATTGCTCCCTTGGTTGTTTCCATGCCTTGAAATTTCCTCCTTTTCCATAACCAAAGGGCAAATCTGATCAAGTTACCTTCCTGCGTAACATAGCCAATAGGCATTTTATGACTGGGTGCCTCAAAACCCCCTTTAGCCCCATCGCTGTCCCTTCCTGTCCCCTGTGCTTTTTATCTTGGCTATGTGGAACCATTTGCTGCTCTCCAAATATATGATGCTCTTGTATGTTTGGTTTCCACAGTTTTCTTTTCTTGTCTTTATCACTCTTCCTTCCTTCTTCTTTGAAGATTCCCCTTAGCCATCAAATTACTGGAGAAGTCTTTCCTACCTTCCCTATGAACCATGTTACCAGTTCTTCTGGAGGCCCCCAAATTTCCACATGTCCCCCAGATTACAGCAAGTGCAATGCTGTACCACAACTGCACACGGACGCGTCCATCTCTTCTAAATGTGTGCAGCTGATGGCTCCGCTTAAGACTTAGTCTTTCTATATCTCTCGCAGAGAATCCAGAGTTGGTTGAGCTGAATGGATGAATGAAAGGGAAAAAGAGTGAATGATTGTAAACGATTAATGAAAGAAGGGGGACTGGATGGCAAGATAGCTCAGTTTTTTCCAAGGCACAGCCTGCTATTTGCCCTGATGATGAAAACACACCGAGCTTTGGTATTTGAAAATCTGGGGTTGAGTTCCTACCTCATCCCTCTGGGGCTTGAACTCAGGGCCTGGGCGCTGCCCTTGAGTTTTTCTGCTCAAGGCTACTGCTCTACCACTTGAGTCGCATGCCTTTTTTGGTAGTTCCTTGGAGATAAGAGTCTCATAGACTTTGTTGCTGGGCTGGCTTTGAACCATAATCCTCAGATATCAGTCTCCTGTGTAACTAAGATTGCAGGGGTGAGCAATGAGCATTTGGTTCTTTTTTTTTTTTCTTTTAGGAATGGTCAAAATCTCCAAAGGCAAGGAAGACCATGGAGATCTACTGACTGCAGAGGGATGAGCCTGGGTGGAAGAAGAAAGGAGGGATGAGAAGGAAAGTGACTTTCCAGGGACTGGTGGGGATAATACCCCAATGGCTCCTGCTGCAGGATGGAAGGCAGCATCCTGGGCAGAGTCGGTGACACGTGACTTTGCTGAAGTCTCCTGAGAAAAGCCAGTCCACATTGGTCCCATGGGAGAAAGAACCTCGACCCTAGATCATGGACAAGCTTTGCATCATCTCCAACAAGTGACTTAACCTTTCTAGATTCTCCATCTTAATATGGGGGAGTAATCTCTGCCTCGTGAGACTGTTGCTGGATTGATACAAGATGGCTGTGCGAGGTGCAGACATTGACAAGGCAGCCTACATATCCCCTCCCTGTCCGGATTCATCATCATTTCTCCCTACTCCTCCTTTTGTGTTTTAATAGTGTGTGTGTGTGTGTGTGTGTGTGTGTGTGTGTAGTGTGTCACTGTGGGGCATTGAGTTTGTGTCTGTCCTTGTCTGCCCACTGCAGGACGAGATGCATGAGGGGAGTTGTGGGTCTGATTCTTGTGTACATCCTCTGTGCTCAGCCCAGAGCTGCAGATAGAAGAGCCAGAGGGTGGATAAATGATACGTTTCTTTCTTCTTTCCTTGTTCAGGAAGCTCAGAGGTAAAGACCAGGAAGCTTGGAGATGCTGCTGCTTATTCCACCTGTAGCTTTGAGGATTCCAAATTTAGCTCGTCACTACACCAACACCTTCTTGATGGGTAGATAGACAACGTCTAGGTCAACAAACATGGGTATAATAAGATGTTTCTCTGCAACTGGGCCCAAACAGCAATAAGGAAAAGATGCAGGGGCCACAAACAGCATGTGCCAGAGATGGACATATAAAAGACAGGGACTCGGAGCTCCAGCACAGTCGGACAGCTCCTTTCCAGCATTCGCAAAGAAGCAGAGACACCTCAACCATGTCTGGCAGCTGTTGTTCTAGGAAATGCCCTTCCCTGCCAGCCATCTCTCTCTACTCCACTGAGGTGAGCTGTGGAGGGCCCATCTGCTTGCCCAGTTCCTGCCAGAGCCAGACGTGGCAACTGGTGACTTGCGAAGACAGCTGTGGCTCATCTGGCTGCGGGTCCCAATGCGGTCAGCCTTCTTGCTCGGTGAGCAGTTGCTGTCAGCCTGTGTGCTGCGAGGCCAGCGTGTACCAGCCTTCCTGCTCAGCAAGCAGCTGTGCTCCATCTGTATGTCTGGAGGCCACCCTGTGTGAGCCCGCCTGCTCCATGAGCAGCTGCTGTCAGCCGGTGTGCTGTGAGACCACGGGCTGCCAGCAGTTCCTCTGCATGCCTGCGTCCTGCCAGCCGGTCCTCTGCAAACCTGCTTGCTGCCAGCCGGTCATCTGCGAGCCCAGCTGCTGTCCGTCTACCTGTGCGGTGTCCACTTCCTGCCAACCAATGGTCTGTGAGCCCATGGTTTGTGAGCCAGTGGTGTGTGAGCCGGTTTGCTGCCAGCCAGTGTGCCCATCGCCCAGCTGCTGTCCCTCGGTCTGTTCCGCCACCAGTAGCTGCTGCCAGCCTGTCTGTTGTGACCCTAGTCCCTGTGAGACATCTTGCGTGGAGGCCAGTGTGTGCCAGCCGGCCACCTGTATGGCTCTGGTCTGTGAGCCTGTTTGTCTCCGTCCTGTCTGCTGTGTTCCAAGCCCTTGTGAGCAGCCATGTGGCTCCGGAGCTTGCCAAGAGCCCTCTTGTTGCGTCTCCAGTATCTGCCAGCCTATGTGCGCTGAGCCTAGCCCCTGCGCTCCCTCTGTCTGTGTGCCCAGCCCGTGTCAACCTTCCTGCTACCTGGTCAAACGCTGCCGTTCTGTCAGCTGTGAGCCCTGCCCATCTACTTCGTGCCAACCTCCCTGCTGCCGTCCAGGGTCATCTGCATCTGCCGTCTGTCCACCGTCTTGCCCTCCTAAGACTTACTACATACCTAGCTCCTGCAAACAGCCGTGCAGCCCCATCTCCTACCGCCCGATTTGCCGTCCAATCTGCCGCCCCATCTGCGCTGGCCCCATCACGTATAGGCAGCCATACCTGACGTCCATCTCTTACCGACCTTCCTGCTATCGCTCCTGTTACTCCATCCTGCGCCGTCCCTCCTGCTTCACTTCCTACTCCTACCGCCCTGTCTGCTCCCGCCAGCCTTGTGCGAATTCCGACTCCTGTAAGCAGGAGGGCAAAAAGTCCACCTCCAGCCAGCCTGATTGTGCTGATTCTACCCCTTGCAAGTCAGAGGTCCCGCAGGAGACTCCCTGCCAGCCTTCTGAGGCCAAATCCACCACGGAGGCCACAGCCCCTCAGCCTCCTGCCAACAAGCCTGCCGATCGCTGATCTGGCCTCAGCCCACCAGCTCCTGCTAAGCAAGCTCTAAGCTAGAGAGAAACCTGGACTGTTCTGCACACAGCTCATTATGGCTTAGCTCAAACCCTGCTTTTTCTGTGACTGTCGTTCACACCACTGGCTTAGGTTCAAAGAACTTACCAGAAATGCCAGTGTCCTAAGGGCCTAAAGGAAGGTTTCTTGGACACTGAGAGGGAGATGGCCTGACTTCTTGTTTTCTGCTGAGAAGAGCTGCTTTTCCATAGTGCCTGTCTCTTTTCTGAGACACTGTATTTTCTGTGCTTATGCATAGGCTACCTTAGGTATGTGCTTATGTTCCTTAGGAACTTCTTAGAGATGCATGTAACAGTTCAATAAAGGTGGCTAAAATGAAGGGATATGCTGTTCTTCTGTTAATACCATAATCTCATCAGAGACCCATTTCATCTTTGAGCAGCTCTACCCATCATCCATTCATCATTCATCATCCATCTATCCATCATCTATCCATCCATCATGAACCCATCTGCCATCCATCTATCTACTATCCATCTACCATTCATCCATGCCTCTCTCCACTCAAAGGTCAACTGTCCATCCATTTAACATTCATCTATCCATTCATCCATCCATCCATCTGCTATTCATCCATATCTATTTATGCCTCCACCAACCCATTTTTCATCCATCTAATCTTCTATCCATCTATCATCCATCCATCCATTTAACATCAATCCATCCATTCATCATACACTCATCCATAAATGTATCCATCCAACATCCATTCATTCATCCTTCATCCATCCATCAATCATCCATCTATCCATCCATCCATCTATCCATCATTATTAGATGTAGGTGGCAGGCTGTGTTAGTCTCTAGGAATGAACAAATCAAAAGCCCCAGTTCTCATTCTCAGGGAGCTCAGTCTGTTGGGAAAAATATGGGCATTGAGAAAATTATTGTAATTCTTTGTGTTCAGCAGAAGACCCATGTCCTTTCCTTACAAGTAGGAATTAACCAGGTACAAACAAGGAAGAGGCAGGAGAAGCATGCACAAGTAAATGGGGCTGGGAGCAAACTGCTCATTAGTGGATGCTTTGACAGAAATGTCCTTAGAGGAGAGGTGCGTCCTGCGGTGAGGCAGCCCAGAGGGATCGGCCCACATTGGGTCTGGTGTGTTGCACAGGAGGCAGAGGTGTTTTCAGTTTAGTGCAGAGCTTCTGTGAGACATTGAAGGGAGGGTGCTGTGAGTCGGGTAAAGGCATAGAAAGTGCTGCATTTTAGAAAGTCTCGTTTGCCTTGGAATAAAGAACTCAAGGAAAGAGCCTGGGTATAACTGGAAAAAGGGAATAGCTTTGGAGTCCACAGTGGGATGAAAAGAATAAATGGGAGTCATACTTACAAGAAGGAAGGTTGAATAACCTTTGCTTCTTGTGAGACAGCTAATTTTGTGTTCTCCAGGTCAGCAGAGAAATGCTCGGTATAAAATCCATGCCCACTCTCTTACAATCTGCAAGTAGGGAGCCTCTTCCAAGTAGATGCCTCCTGCACTGGTTGCCCAGGGCAGAGGGCCATCATTTGGATGGATATGCCAGGGTGTCTCAACTTGACCACTGCTGACATTTTGGGCAGGATGGTTTCTCATCGTGGGGAATATTCTGTGCGTTGTGAAGTGATAAGCAACATGCTTGGTCACTACCAGCTAGGCAATGACAACGATTCTCCGGGAGTGTAAACCCCCCATTCCAGAAGCTTCTGATTAGACAAGGGGAGAAGAAAAAAGTCAGAAATGAAGCTTATTCTGTACATTAGTGTTGGAGTTACTAGCTCAATGGACCATTGAGATACATCACTGTTGTTTTCAAGAGTCACATGAAGAATTAATCAGTGTGTTAAACCTTTGTGCCAATCTTTGCTTAGTGTTTTATGTAAATCACAGTAATTCTGTAAAGTTTTTCTCCTCCCTCTCCCATGTTTTTCTCTATCTACAAGACAAAATATCTGAAGGACAAACCAACAAGTCAATTGCCCATTCAAAGACAAGTAAATTGTGTTATAGTCACACAAGGGAATATTATACTGAAATAAAAATGACTGGGCCAAGGTTATATGCAGCAACACGAATGGACAATACTAATAATGATGAGCTTTAAAAGACAATACATGAATATTTAATGTTCAGAGACAATACACACATAATTTCTATTGCACATATATATATATATATATATATCAATGGTGAATAAAGGTATTTTAATGATGATGTTTTCTAGATGTTGTTCTGATCAGAATAGTTTCCCTTCTTTAAAAATGAGGATGAGGAGCATGCCAAGGAGAAAGCATTTTGTAACTAGTATTTTACAAAGTAACCTCCAGAATTGCCAGTCTGTTGGCTGTTGCAATAGCCAAAGTAACCAAGAAACAGTAATGCGGTTGATAACATCTTGGGACTTTGAAGACCTGGGTAATTAGCTATTCCATCCAACAATATGTGTTAGCAATGAGCCAGAAATCAAGACCAACCCTGTCTGGTGTAGTAAAACCATTGTTTTTCCAAGGTACCATGTGCAATCCAGCATGAACAAGGCTCAGCATGCGGACAGTATGGGATGCTGAAGTTGATTGGCAATGCTGAGCAGAGGCAAGCCCAGAGGAAAAGAAGAAGGGTCTGGACAGCGCCTCAGGAATTCCCCCTGTAGGAGCTACAGCCACTTTTCAGTGATGTCCCAATATTACTTCTGATGGTTGTTCTTTTACATTTGTAGAATTTATATGCTGTGGGCTCTACCTTAGGAATTGAATCCTTCTTGATGTAATATTTGCAGGTTTAAATTTTTCCATCTGAATGTACTGCTAAGTAGATGTAAAGGTTAAATTAGCTTTATCTAGCCAATGATGAATGTCTCCGTGGTGGATAAGGCCATCCCCAGGACAGAACTAGCTAGCCTGCTGCTGAGTAAATATCAGCCTCCATCCCCAAATAAAGTCATGCTTCCCTTCTCTCTTATTTATATTCCTTTCACTCCTCAACTTCTCCAATGCCAAGTGGTATAATAAATAATTAAGATCTGAGATTTGGGGACCAGCCAAGCCAGATTAGAATTCTGTTTATTCAAAATTACTTACATAATTGGGGAAATATGACATAAACTCTGAATTGAGTCTAGGTACTTGGAATCTAACACAGTGATGACAATTATACTTATTTAATTAAGGTCATTTCAAGGATAAGTGAAAAATGCAGCCAAGGGCTGGGTAGCTCCTGTAAGTATGCAATAAACAGATATCATTATAGCTATTATTGGTAACAATTCTAAAGTTAAGTTTCCAGAAAGTCAGATGCGAAGGTTGCAGAAAGAAATGGAGACCACTGGGCGCCGGTGGCTCATGCCTGTAATCCTAGCCACTCAGGAAGCTGAGATCTGAGGATTGCAGTTTTTTTTTTTTTTT